TTAGCATAGTTGACCCCGTGTGGTACAGTGCTACTGCTGTACTGTGGTGAGGCTGTACTAGTGTGTTGCGTCAGTTTTCTGGTCTCTTGTTATGTCGTATCACACAGATGCATTATAATGTCTGATGTATGTTGCTCCCTCATCATATATTTACTGGATACACACTTTTCAGACCGTTATCGAATATTTACTTGATATAGGTTAAACGTTGAGTATCGAGGACTGTTTGAAATGCAGTTGGACGATGCCAGAGAGAGTGTGTCTGTTTGCCACCTTTATATACGTTGTCTTGTACTTCCTTAATCGATGTTCATGTATACCAGCTCGCATGTGTACCCGTAGGGTGATAACCTCGGGCCCTTTGATGCGAAAAGAATGCTTAATTTACACCATTAAACTGAGGTGCGTTACTTACCTGGAAGTGGCCAGCCCAAGGTAAATCAATCACGTATAATTCACAAATGGTATATATAAAGGATGGGGGAAACTGTTCCATCATCTCTTATCTTCACCTGCCGTTGAGACACAGATACGAGTCAAGACCAAACTGTAAGTACTATTTTAAGGTTTGCTTGTGATATATATGTATACTTTTAATGTTTGATTCATCTGCTGCGCATCTGGCTGTTTTCAATCTTTATGTTGAGCCAATTCATAAAAGTACGAATATGTAACATAAAACGTTCTTGTAAATTGGGAAATATATGAATGCAGGTGAAAGTAAAACTGATAACATAATTCACAATGAGTGGTGTGAACTGAATGTACCAGATGAGTAACGATAACATGCTATTTCCCTTTCTTGACAACGATTTTCACCTTACTCAATAGATACTCAAAATGATGAAGATAGTCGCCGCTCTTGTTGCCTGCCTGGCTGTTACCGCCTTTGCCGAGCCTACCGGTCTGTATGGTGGAATTGGCGGGTTGAAAGGAGGACTGGGCGGAATTGGCTACGGAATGGGTGGATTGCACGGAGGCCTTGGAGGTCTGTACGGAGGCTATGGAGGTCTGTACGGAGGCATGGGAGGTCTATACGGAGGCGTGGGAGGTCTATACGGAGGCATGGGAGGTCTATACGGAGGCGTGGGAGGTCTATACGGAGGCATGGGAGGTCTGTACGGAGGACTTGGAGGCTATGGTGGTCTCTACGGCGGAATTGGAGGATACGGAATTGGATTGGGAAAAGGTATTTCACAAAATATGATATCATTTGTTTATCGTATCCCACTTTCAGTCTCGTTTGCAAAATTTTATAATTTACCTATGTGGTATTATTATTTTACGCGACAAAGCTGATGACATTTATAAAACATCTTCAAAATTATTCTCTGCTTTCTCTAATATTTGGTTTAGCTTATCATGCAGCTAGTTTCAAGACTTCGTTGTGACTTATCCATATATCCCAATTTTATTCTACTATTTTTTTGTTTCAGGTATCGGCTATTATTGAGTTATTATCACCTGCAATGTGATGCTGGGTATTTATGTATATTCTCAAACCAATGGAATTGGTTCAATAAAATCTTGTCATATTTATTTACGCCTTGAAATTTGTTTGAGAATCTGAAAACTGAATTGAATGTTCACAATGGAAAAGTGATCTATGTTTCTCCATATTGTATACACTGGACATAGTACGTGTTGTAGACCAATATCCAAGCACTTAAATGATATTGCGTTTTACTTCAAGCTAAGATATCAACTACTGAAATGTGTATTAAGTTCCTGAGGAAACCGGACATGATGATAAGAGGAGGGATTTTATGCTTGATGTATCTCCCACAAAATGTCACTTACCCGAGTTCATGTTTCACGGGAATGTATCATTTGGGCTGCCACGAAAGGGTTTGATGGCCATTTGAAGTACCATAATATCTGGAATTGGCTGTCTGTATTTCAATTTGCATTTTAAAAACACGCAGTGAAACAAATAAGCAGGAGTATCAATTTTGGTCAAAGCGTTCATTAACGGGATCAAGGGGTAGACAGTGTGCACTGTATTGAAATGCAAATGTGTGTGCTGTCCTTGAAAATGAGCGAAAGTTGTATTCAGAATACAATCTACATGTTGTTATGGCGCTTTGTATAAATAATATCTGAGCTGCTGCAATGAAACAGCGAAAGCCGTGGTGATGTAGAGCATCAAAACAAATGTTGCAAGATTCTTACTGCTTTGGTTAGAAGGGAATGCATACAGTTGGAATTTCCATGACAGTAACATATCTTTACAGTTTATTAATAACACAAACAAAACGATTGAATTCAAAAGTAACTATTAAAAACGCTTGTCCGGGTGTAGCTTATCAAACTACGAATTATTTGTAATTTCCATCAAACATGTACTTCTTGATTTGATGATGCAATTTAACATTTTGCATACTGCTTATGTAATTAATAGGAGAAGTATCTATATAGATATTTAGTTGTGTGTTTACTAACCACCTTCCCTGTAGGCGCTATTTGTAAAATACATATTGATTAAATCAGACCGCGAATTTTAAGATTCCGAACTGGATTGGTAGGATTGAAGATTACAATCAACAAACAAATAGCTAATATATCCCCTATTGTTTGATTACAACGCAAAAGTGACAATCATTTATCAATACAAAGGAGATTGCATTTGGTAACTGTAGAGAGTGAAATTCAGCGGAATAAATGGTCCAACTTTAAAGCTTGTCATAAGTCTTTATAACAACAACCAGACTGTAAAAACAAGTCGTTTGATCATGTCTATCTTTGAAAACACCTTTGTGTTATACTTTAAGAGCATTTTCTTCTGAAAACACACGTCTTTACTTTTAGATGTACGGTTTTTCTGGGAAACCCTTATATAGTTATACATTGTCAAACTGATTTGCGCGTGTTTTTATTCTTGATATGAGTTTTGGTTTAAACACGCCTTAAAAGAACACAGTCATCACTATCACTACTGCTTCATCATGTCAAGGGCATACGTAAAGGGTAGAGGCGATTTATATACTTTCTTCTTTTTTCTAATGTTTAGAACCAAAGATTCACCCGAAGATTAAAACACGTTAAAGTGAGTTATTTGCAACAGTGAATCAGTATATATGCAAATGTATGAATGGCTGAGACGTTGTCAAAAGACAACGTTCTCCCAATCTGGCACACGATGGAACTGACGGAGGAGCTCAAATATATACAAATATAAACTATTCATTAACACCTGGTGACATCACTGATATTCAGTATATGTTTTAGCACAATCTTGCCTTTTACACCCAATGAAATCTGTTTCAGCAGATATTGGAGCCTGATTATTCTCTGGCGTTGACGATTAATGTAGTTAAAGGGTCATCATTCTATAATTATTATATCAATATTCAGGCGTTATCTATAGAAATTGAGATAACAAATTTAGTGATGCTCGTATTATTACAAATGCCTTGATAATGAAGTGTACAATTATCAAGATGATATGTTGAAAATAAGAGAGTTCTCTCAAGAAACGCAGTTGCAAATAAAAGCCACATAACCCTTTTCAGAATCATTCGAAAGCTCTGCTCGAAGCAGAGACAATTGTACGATTTCGACTTTAATGATCACACGCATGTGCGTATGAATGACTACCAGATAGTGATGATACCTGGCGGTTGCCAAAAGTAAGCGTATCCTGCCCCAACGGTTCCTCCGTCACAAACACATACAAAGACAAGTCAACAAAGACGAGAAAACAAGCTGTTGTTCATATGTCAATCATGTTTTCAGAAGACATTGGTGTAATTTAGGCTTTTAACAGATATTACACGCATAAAAAGGTGTTGTGAGTATTCATAGTGACAGTCCCTTTGTGAGAAGAAACCAATATATGTGCCTATCAGTTAGGAAATAAAGCTGTTGTAGTTTATTGTTATTGTGCAGTAAGATAAATAAAATTCGGGGAGAATAATGTATAGTATCTGGGGACTTCTGCAGTATATTCAGCAGAAGCTATTTTCTTGTGAGCAGGCTGCTGTATTACACGGAAACGGTTAGCATAGTTGACCCCGTGTGGTACAGTGCTACTGCTGTACTGTGGTGAGACTGTACTAGTGTGTTGCGTCAGTTTTCTGGTCTCTTGTTATGTCGTATCACACAGATGCATTATAATGTCTGATGTATGTTGCTCCCTCATCATATATTTACTGGATACACACTTTTCAGACCGTTATCGAATATTTACTTGATATAGGTTAAACGTTGAGTATCGAGGACTGTTTGAAATGCAGTTGGACGATGCCAGAGAGAGTGTGTCTGTTTGCCACCTTTATATACGTTGTCTTGTACTTCCTTAATCGATGTTCATGTATACCAGCTCGCATGTGTACCCGTAGGGTGATAACCTCGGGCCCTTTGATGCGAAAAGAATGCTTAATTTACACCATTAAACTGAGGTGCGTTACTTACCTGGAAGTGGCCAGCCCAAGGTAAATCAATCACGTATAATTCACAAATGGTATATATAAAGGATGGGGGAAACTGTTCCATCATCTCTTATCTTCACCTGCCGTTGAGACACAGATACGAGTCAAGACCAAACTGTAAGTACTATTTTAAGGTTTGCTTGTGATATATATGTATACTTTTAATGTTTGATTCATCTGCTGCGCATCTGGCTGTTTTCAATCTTTATGTTGAGCCAATTCATAAAAGTACGAATATGTAACATAAAACGTTCTTGTAAATTGGGAAATATATGAATGCAGGTGAAAGTAAAACTGATAACATAATTCACAATGAGTGGTGTGAACTGAATGTACCAGATGAGTAACGATAACATGCTATTTCCCTTTCTTGACAACGATTTTCACCTTACTCAATAGATACTCAAAATGATGAAGATAGTCGCCGCTCTTGTTGCCTGCCTGGCTGTTACCGCCTTTGCCGAGCCTACCGGTCTGTATGGTGGAATTGGCGGGTTGAAAGGAGGACTGGGCGGAATTGGCTACGGAATGGGTGGATTGCACGGAGGCCTTGGAGGTCTGTACGGAGGCTATGGAGGTCTGTACGGAGGCATGGGAGGTCTATACGGAGGCGTGGGAGGTCTATACGGAGGCATGGGAGGTCTATACGGAGGCGTGGGAGGTCTATACGGAGGCATGGGAGGTCTGTACGGAGGACTTGGAGGCTATGGTGGTCTCTACGGCGGAATTGGAGGATACGGAATTGGATTGGGAAAAGGTATTTCACAAAATATGATATCATTTGTTTATCGTATCCCACTTTCAGTCTCGTTTGCAAAATTTTATAATTTACCTATGTGGTATTATTATTTTACGCGACAAAGCTGATGACATTTATAAAACATCTTCAAAATTATTCTCTGCTTTCTCTAATATTTGGTTTAGCTTATCATGCAGCTAGTTTCAAGACTTCGTTGTGACTTATCCATATATCCCAAATTTATTCTACTATTTTTTTGTTTCAGGTATCGGCTATTATTGAGTTATTATCACCTGCAATGTGATGCTGGGTATTTATGTATATTCTCAAACCAATGGAATTGGTTCAATAAAATCTTGTCATATTTATTTACGCCTTGAAATTTGTTTGAGAATCTGAAAACTGAATTGAATGTTCACAATGGAAAAGTGATCTATGTTTCTCCATATTGTATACACTGGACATAGTACGTGTTGTAGACCAATATCCAAGCACTTAAATGATATTGCGTTTTACTTCAAGCTAAGATATCAACTACTGAAATGTGTATTAAGTTCCTGAGGAAACCGGACATGATGATAAGAGGAGGGATTTTATGCTTGATGTATCTCCCACAAAATGTCACTTACCCGAGTTCATGTTTCACGGGAATGTATCATTTGGGCTGCCACGAAAGGGTTTGATGGCCATTTGAAGTACCATAATATCTGGAATTGGCTGTCTGTATTTCAATTTGCATTTTAAAAACACGCAGCGAAACAAATAAGCAGGAGTATCAATTTTGGTCAAAGCGTTCATTAACGGGATCAAGGGGTAGACAGTGTGCACTGTATTGAAATGCAAATGTGTGTGCTGTCCTTGAAAATGAGCGAAAGTTGTATTCAGAATACAATCTACATGTTGTTATGGCGCTTTGTATAAATAATATCTGAGCTGCTGCAATGAAACAGCGAAAGCCATGGTGATGTAGAGCATCAAAACAAATGTTGCAAGATTCTTACTGCTTTGGTTAGAAGGGAATGCATACAGTTGGAATTTCCATGACAGTAACATATCTTTACAGTTTATTAATAACACAAACAAAACGATTGAATTCAAAAGTAACTATTAAAAACGCTTGTCCGGGTGTAGCTTATCAAACTACGAATTATTTGTAATTTCCATCAAACATGTACTTCTTGATTTGATGATGCAATTTAACATTTTGCATACTGCTTATGTAATTAATAGGAGAAGTATCTATATAGATATTTAGTTGTGTGTTTACTAACCACCTTCCCTGTAGGCGCTATTTGTAAAATACATATTGATTAAATCAGACTGCGAATTTTAAGATTCCGAACTGGATTGGTAGGATTGAAGATTGCAATCAACAAACAAATAGCTAATATATCCCTATTGTTTGATTACAACGCAAAAGTGACAATCATTTATCAATACAAAGGAGATTGCATTTGGTAACTGTAGAGAGTGAAATTCAGCGGAATAAATGGTCCAACTTTAAAGCTTGTCATAAGTCTTTATAACAACAACCAGACTGTAAAAACAAGTCTTTTGATCATGTCTATCTTTGAAAACACCTTTGTGTTATACTTTAAGAGCATTTTCTTCTGAAAACACACGTCTTTACTTTTAGATGTACGGTTTTTCTGGGAAACCCTTATATAGTTATACATTGTCAAACTGATTTGCGCGTGTTTTTATTCTTGATATGAGTTTTGGTTTAAACACGCCTTAAAAGAACACAGTCATCACTATCACTACTGCTTCATCATGTCAAGGGCATACGTAAAGGGTAGAGGCGATTTATATACTTTCTTCTTTTTTCTAATGTTTAGAACCAAAGATTCACCCGAAGATTAAAACACGTTAAAGTGAGTTATTTGCAACAGTGAATCAGTATATATGCAAATGTATGAATGGCTGAGACGTTGTCAAAAGACAACGTTCTCCCAATCTGGCACACGATGGAACTGACGGAGGAGCTCAAATATATACAAATATAAACTATTCATTAACACCTGGTGACATCACTGATATTCAGTATATGTTTTAGCACAATCTTGCCTTTTACACCCAATGAAATCTGTTTCAGCAGATATTGGAGCCTGATTATTCTCTGGCGTTGACGATTAATGTAGTTAAAGGGTCATCATTCTATAATTATTATATCAATATTCAGGCGTTATCTATAGAAATTGAGATAACAAATTTAGTGATGCTCGTATTATTACAAATGCCTTGATAATGAAGTGTACAATTATCAAGATGATATGTTGAAAATAAGAGAGTTCTCTCAAGAAACGCAGTTGCAAATAAAAGCCACATAACCCTTTTCAGAATCATTCGAAAGCTCTGCTCGAAGCAGAGACAATTGTACGATTTCGACTTTAATGATCACACGCATGTGCGTATGAATGACTACCAGATAGTGATGATACCTGGCGGTTGCCAAAAGTAAACGTATCCTGCCCCAACGGTTCCTCCGTCACAAACACATACAAAGACAAGTCAACAAAGACGAGAAAACAAGCTGTTGTTCATATGTCAATCATGTTTTCAGAAGACATTGGTGTAATTTAGGCTTTTAACAGATATTACACGCATAAAAAGGTGTTGTGAGTATTCATAGTGACAGTCCCTTTGTGAGAAGAAACCAATATATGTACCTATCAGTTAGGAAATAAAGCTGCTGTAGTTTATTGTTATTGTGCAGTAAGATAAATAAAATTCGGGGAGAATAATGTAGTATCTGGGGACTTCTGCAGTATATTCAGCAGAAGCTATTTTCTTGTGAGCAGGCTGCTGTATTACACGGAAACGGTTAGCATAGTTGACCCCGTGTGGTACAGTGCTACTGCTGTACTGTGGTGAGACTGTACTAGTGTGTTGCGTCAGTTTTCTGGTCTCTTGTTATGTCGTATCACACAGATGCATTATAATGTCTGATGTATGTTGCTCCCTCATCATATATTTACTGGATACACACTTTTCAGACCGTTATCGAATATTTACTTGATATAGGTTAAACGTTGAGTATCGAGGACTGTTTGAAATGCAGTTGGACGATGCCAGAGAGAGTGTGTCTGTTTGCCACCTTTATATACGTTGTCTTGTACTTCCTTAATCGATGTTCATGTATACCAGCTCGCATGTGTACCCGTAGGGTGATAACCTCGGGCCCTTTGATGCGAAAAGAATGCTTAATTTACACCATTAAACTGAGGTGCGTTACTTACCTGGAAGTGGCCAGCCCAAGGTAAATCAATCACGTATAATTCACAAATGGTATATATAAAGGATGGGGGAAACTGTTCCATCATCTCTTATCTTCACCTGCCGTTGAGACACAGATACGAGTCAAGACCAAACTGTAAGTACTATTTTAAGGTTTGCTTGTGATATATATGTATACTTTTAATGTTTGATTCATCTGCTGCGCATCTGGCTGTTTTCAATCTTTATGTTGAGCCAATTCATAAAAGTACGAATATGTAACATAAAACGTTCTTGTAAATTGGGAAATATATGAATGCAGGTGAAAGTAAAACTGATAACATAATTCACAATGAGTGGTGTGAACTGAATGTACCAGATGAGTAACGATAACATGCTATTTCCCTTTCTTGACAACGATTTTCACCTTACTCAATAGATACTCAAAATGATGAAGATAGTCGCCGCTCTTGTTGCCTGCCTGGCTGTTACCGCCTTTGCCGAGCCTACCGGTCTGTATGGTGGAATTGGCGGGTTGAAAGGAGGACTGGGCGGAATTGGCTACGGAATGGGTGGATTGCACGGAGGCCTTGGAGGTCTGTACGGAGGCTATGGAGGTCTGTACGGAGGCATGGGAGGTCTATACGGAGGCGTGGGAGGTCTATACGGAGGCATGGGAGGTCTATACGGAGGCGTGGGAGGTCTATACGGAGGCATGGGAGGTCTGTACGGAGGACTTGGAGGCTATGGTGGTCTCTACGGCGGAATTGGAGGATACGGAATTGGATTGGGAAAAGGTATTTCACAAAATATGATATCATTTGTTTATCGTATCCCACTTTCAGTCTTGTTTGCAAAATTATATAATTTACCTATGTGGTATTATTATTTTACGCGACAAAGCTGATGACATTTATAAAACATCTTCAAAATTATTCTCTGCTTTCTCTAATATTTGGTTTAGCTTATCATGCAGCTAGTTTCAAGACTTCGTTGTGACTTATCCATATATCCCAACTTTATTCTACTATTTTTTTGTTTCAGGTATCGGCTATTATTGAGTTATTATCACCTGCAGTGTGATGCTGGCTATTTATGTATATTCTCAAACCAATGGAATTGGTTCAATAAAATCTTGTCATATTTATTTACGCCTTGAAATTTGTTTGAGAATCTGAAAACTGAATTGAATGTTCACAATGGAAGAGTGATCTATGTTTCTCCATATTGTAAACTCTGGACATGGTACGTGTTGTAGACCAATATCCAAGCACTTAAATGATATAATTGAAAACCAGATGTTGTTTTTATAATGGGGGAAACTGATAAGCTAAAGACATGGCACTATGGCGGACAAGCTACCATTCGTCTTCACTTGTGAGGTTAGGTTATGTGAAGCTGCTCTATTTCTACGCCTCAAAAAGGTTATATTTGAGTTACCTACTACAATAAGAAACATGTTAAAACTGCCCCTTAAGTATTCTTTAAGCTATTGGATTGTCGGGTTACTCCGAGGGGTCAAGAGATTTCAGAGTATGAAGAAAACCTGCTTACTTCGTTCTTACTTACTTGTTCGTAGTGTTTGGTAATCGTGTATAATATGACTAATGCAGGAAGACCGCCTCCCAAATAAAGCGTACATGTTACTTAAGTTTGTTTTTACAATGTAGATAATACACATTGGGCTTAAATAATAGATACCTTCTTTTTTCTCAATGTTTTGTTTGGCTGTCAAACAAACGGAGACAAAACATACTTAATGATTATTGTTGAAGCTATCGTGTCATTTGATTGTCTGGTTTGTTTACAGGGCACCGGAGCATAGCAGGAGTACCGCTGTGCAACAGTCAACAAACAAACAAACACTTACTTATTAATGCAAACTGAGTGACGGACGCTACCAGTACAGCAGGACATCCATTCAGTAATCCTTTCACAAATTCCAACCTTTACTTTGCCTTTTACACCTAATAGAATCTGTTTCTACTGATAATCGAGACTGGTTATTCTCCGGCCTTAACGTTCTATATCTATTATGTTTAACTAAAATTGAATATTTAACCAAAGTTAAAAGAACCATAAACGTCTTAACTGAATTAAAGATGTTACAGCTTCGAAACATTTTAGTGAAGTTTAGAGGGGTTTGAGAAAT